GTAAAACATTATATAATAATTGTCTTAACATATTGCTGATTAAGGAAATCAATTTAACAATAAATACATAACTGGAGATTGTATCTTCGTTTAACGACAGTTCCTCAACTGTGGAGATTCCACAACGTCTATTTCGAAGATTACTGAGTAGTAAATGGTGCAGGATGTGGAAGGAAGTGTTCGAATCCAGTATACGTACGAAATAAGACCGTACCGATTTCAATCAGTGCAACAACTGGCAATGGATTGGCCGTTTTATGTATGAAATGTTTCGTGTGCAGTTGTTAGGGTTGCGTTTCAAATTAAACACCCTGTATAATAATTTATGTCATGCATAAACTACAATTCTGTCGCTCTCTTTACTTAACTGAAAGAGATATATCGTTTAAACAGCTTCAGCAATCCGATCAATGCCTAAAGCCATCTCGATGCCTGAAATGTTCTAAATTTTTAAACCAAATTTGGAAGCGTGAGGCTTGTAAAATGAAAATCTGCAAGGCAATAAGAGTAATCAAAATTTGGAGCAAAACAAACTCCTTCAAGTTTTTCTTACATTTCTGGGGAGTTTATCAGCTAACGGCTGGATTTATTTCGCATCTCGGACATAGCAGACGATCCAGCACACTGCAGGCACCTTCAGCGACGAACATTGCGTAACTTAACATCAAAATACGATTTGGCATAAACAAAAAAAAAACCAGCATATGGCCGCTTCCATTTCCCAAAACAAAAAGATAGTGACGGTAAGGGAATGTGAATTAAGCGTAGGTTAGAAGGTAGTACATACCTAGATAATTACCCAGAGTTTCTCTTCCCCTAATTCTCCACACCATTCATTACAGAGACGGACAGCAGATGCGGGCTGCGGTCCGAACTGAAGGGAAAATAGCACGGCGGTATTTCTGCAGATGGAAGCGCCTCGTGCAATGTCACGTTCTCCATTTAGTCTTCTCCGCTTATTTATTTCCCCATTTATTACAGATTCATCATCCTGATGATGGCAGCAATAAAAAAGTCTGAAACGTCGGTCAATTTCTATCAAACTACGCAGCGTAAGGCAATCATCTTCATACTCGCCACCTTCAGAACCTGAACTCTCACCACACAGGGTTAACTGACCTTAACTTTTATGTGAAGCAAAATTTTAAAATACTGCCAGTTCAGTAGTTTGCACAGTTGATTTAAACTGTTTGCCTTGGTAAGCCGTATAAGCTTTGAAGAATGCCCCATAATTACGAGAAATGCTGTAGCTCTTATTAAACCTGTTAGCATATTCGTCGGAATAATAATATTTAAGAATTCAGTCCGTACCGCGAAGAAAACACTACACTTCACCATTACAGAGATCAACTGGTTGACGCTGTTTAAGGAATGTTGGATGTCTTCTAGGGTTTTATTATTCTCAGGCGCGAACAAAGGGATAATCACTTTACGCAAATTGTTTTAGATTAATAAAATCTCCATCACGTAAGTTGGTGGTACTGCCACAGGTATGCCAAGCTTTTCATTCTACATACAGATATACCCGCATACCGCGTCACTTCTTTGCAAGTTTTTTATTTTTGCAAAACATGAGCAAATTACAAGTACTGAAACTTACAAAGTTACTCTCTTCGCATCCATTATGGGCCACGTACGTTGAATATTCACCGCCTTACGCACCACGTGCGTCCTTCACATTCTGAAGGCGAATATTAACCAGTCCGAGAAAAGGATGGAAGGATCCTGTTCATATGGACCTGTCCTCAGACAGAACATTAAATAATAAAATGATGAGGTGGTCTAGCGGTTAGAACGCTGGCCTTGTAATCCTGGTGTCTCGGGTTCGATTCCCGGCGGTGCCGGAATTTATAACTTGTGTTGGGCAAGGCCGTGGTCTAGGCAACACAGTTTTTTCCTCCGGGGGCTTCCCCGGTTTCTCCATTCACACACTTAAGAAGGCAATGGCAAACCACTTCTGGATCATCTGCCA